GGTTTTTAGGTTGATACATGTCATTAATATAATGAAAATATTGACGTATTTATTATATTTCTCGTATTTCGCGAAGATGTGGAACTTGTTCGCGATTATTATAATATCTGCATATTCATATTTTACGAAGGATGTCATATATCAACGTTTTTGGTCAATATAATAAACCGCGTAATTTTAAGATTTGTTTCTTATGCCCAAAATTAATACCTCGATAACTTTTGCGCGCATCAACCAAAAATTTGATCACGAACGGTTTCGGAGTAAGAACATTATTCTCCATATGTGTACCAAAAATCATTGATGTACCAAGAAAACAAAAAAAGTAGATTTTTTGAAAATAGAATATTAAAAAATGTTTCACAAAATCGGACGAATATATATATATATATATATATTGAAGTTATATCTAAATCTGAACTGATTTCCACGAAACTTAGCACACATCAATCCAGGCTGAATTCAGTACACTGTAAAAATTTTCGTACAAATCGGAAGAAATATAGGGGTTTTGCTGCATCATTTACATAAAATCTGACTAATATATATATATATATATATATATATGGGTACTCTATCTAAACCTGAGGCGATTTTCTGCAATTTCAATACTTTTTGTGGACCAAATTTCATTTCATTCGGACCGAAAATGCGACATTTACCTTGTTTTCAATTTAACATGCATAAATCGAAAGTGATTCAATGTATATTCTAAAAAGGAACAATGGGTCTATTCCGTTTCCCTTTGCCTGTTACAATTTAGTGGTAGTTGTGTAAGGTATAATATAGTCGGATGGGGCCTATACCTCTCCGCTGGTTTTGACAAATTGTAGAAAACATAAGAGTTAATTTTGGGTTTTAAGACTTCTTAAACTTTAAAAAATACCAGACCCTTTGATCTTCTAAATACCTATGCAGAGATATGGATAGGATCGTATAAGGACTATACAAAACATAAAACCATTTTTACCGGTAGATTGACAAGAATCGCGCAGTTTAATTTCAATTTTTCTGATAGTTTTACTCTGAGGTATTTTTAGCTCTGGTGTAGTAACACTCATTTTTTTCAAAATTTTACATTTCATAATATAGCATCAATAGATAACTATAGAGGTTTTTTAAAAATTACAATATTATATTGAAAATATTTCTAATTATAACAAGTTTTTTTCATCTCTCTTTAAAACTAACCACATTTTCAGTGAACCTCCACTCCCACAAAAATAATTTATTACGACCCTGAATAAAAAATAGAAATAACTAAAAAAACTAAAAGTTTTTTCATAGAATTTAATACGTGCTTTGAAATGCTATTTATTTGATTTTTTTCTCTCAGATTTTTCTCTCTATATTTTTACATTTTTTTTGTTTTTGTTAAACAAACAAAATATTTGCTCTAAATAATAATAATTTCCACCCTTAGTAAACTTTGCCACCCAACATTCACTTTGTAAAACTTTTTCGTTTTTTGTTTCCTTTTTGTTTTTAGTTGTTTTCCCCCGAGTAGTGGCAGTTGTTTTTGTTGCAGTTGGTGTCATGCTGACATGTTTTATAATTTAAGTGAAACGCTATATGGTTAACTAGTTGTTAGTTGTTGGTTGCATGCTGTGCAACCACTTGGTATGACCACAAATGGTTCTATATATATAGTACATACATAAACAATGCCCACCAAACATATGGATCATTTTCAAATTGTTGTGGAATTTTCTTTGTTCGCCTCATCTGTTTCTTTCGTCTCTCTCTTTCCTATGTGTGAGATTCCTTAGAACACCACATGCTGCGAAAGTTTTTTGGCTAACAATATTTGTATTTAGTGTAAGGATATTCTATCAAACATATTGTTGTTGGTTATTGCAACTGTGAAGAGAGGAATTTATTTCTTTATCGAAAAATAGTTATAGTTTTTTTTTGGATTTAGTTGGACATGCCATTGTTTTTAAATTTTTGTTTTCGGGGTTGCAGGACAAAAAAAAAACTTTTGTTAGAACATGTGTCCTACACAATTAAAATATAAAATGGAAGAAGTTTAAAAAGTCTGAAGTTCGAGACCTTTTTCACCTCGTCTATAAAAGACTTCCTGCTTCACCACGTCTACGAAAGACTCCCAGCCTCAGGTCATCTATGAAAGACTCCCTGCTTCAGCTAGTTTATGAAAGTCACCCTGTCACCCTAGTTAATGAAAGACTCCCTACTTCAGCTCAACTATGAATGACTCCCTGCTTCTGCTTGACTATGAGAAACGCCCTGCTTTAGCTCGTCTATAAAATACACCCTGCTTCAGCTCGTCTATGAAAGACTGCTTCAACTCGTCTATAAAAGACTCTATCGACAATATTGACGTTTAATTCTAACTTGAGACCAAACGATCCTCTGTAATTATTTGCAAAATGCTAAATAATATATTTGAGATGCAACGGCACTCTGTTAATTCTCACAATAAATTCAATAACGAGGACTGTCCGCACTCCTAAAACTTAATACTATATTTTAGACCCAACGGCTCTCTGTTAATGCTCACAATAAATCCAGTAAGGAGACCTGTTGGCACGTCGAATGTTTGATACAATGGTCATCTGTTAATTCTTAAAATAAATCCAATAAGGAGACCTGTCGTCACTCCTAATGCTTAATAATATATATATATATATATATGAGACACAATGGCCCTCTGTTAATTCTCACAATAAATCCAATAAGGAGAATAGGGATAGGTAGAGGTAAATAAAAATTAAATTATATCACTTACCGCTGTCTCTCACTTGAACACAGTTTACTTTTCTTTGTTTACCCGACCGACGATCACTACTTCTCGAGAGTCCCATCCTCGGCTGCGGTGAATTGGCATCATCTGCCACTCTCGCAGCTTCATACTGCGTAGCTGCTGATCTGTCTTTGATAATGCTATAACCGACTGTACACCCAACTACTGAGTACCCAATACCCCAAAATTAAGGAAGCCAATTAAGGTATGTCCATAGTAAGCGAGCTGTATAATTGATGAGTGAATTTGGATAATTAATGAGGTGAGCTTATCGCACATATCTGTGGTATGTGCGTACGTATGAAACTTGGCGTAATTAGTTGTCAATATTTTGAAACCATTATTGTTTCCTCCTTGACCTCAATAGATCGTATACAGAGCAGAACTCTTCTTTTTACCCAATCATCTTGGGGTGTTCTATGAATTGCCTGTTAACACAACTCGATCACTACTTTGGATCTGTCACCTTAGTGTCGGAAATCCACTATAAAGGCATCACTTCCCCACTGGTGAGGGTTCGATGACTATCTAAACCTATGTATTTCTCTAGGCATCCGGTGAGAATACAAATCCACATCGAGCCGAAGCTTTTCCCGCGAAATTTTTGGGTTAACCTACAACCACCACATTGCACACAATAGGGACCAATCCCAAATCGTCAGGATGAAACCTCTGTTTCAGCACTGCGGAGACAAGTGGCGGAAGAAGAGTAATAAATTGGATTTTTCATGATTCTCGCTTTGATGACTTTAACCATGGTGCACCATTGGGTATCGAATTATGAGTCGGCCAACGCCCCGTTAGAATAGTCCAGTGAACTCAATTAGCAACATAGAGCCAGAAATTAGTTTATGTTATTATAAGGATTGGACAGTTTTCTGTAGCGACGATTAGTGAAATCTCTGAAATTTCGTCAATTGATTTTCCCATGATTAGAATAGTACGGATTTAGAAGGTTATGTAGTCGAATGGTCAGGTGGTCGAGTATCGTGGGTACAGCTTTTTAACGAAAGAATATATAAATTAAACTCATCTAACTCGCTTGGTACCGCCCAAATTTTTCTTTATAACACCAAAATAAATCATAAAATATATAACAAAATAATTTTAATATATGACTGAATCTGATTTTGATTCTAATTACATTAAGACTATAAAATAAAGTATACAAACAATGGAAAGATACAATCGCATTGAGTCAGTTATCATTTCTATATCTGATGTTATTGAGGCACTAAAGTGTTTTCTCGCAATTGTCTTCAAGGGAATGACATCCATTCAAATGGTCAAGAGTTAATAATACACATACGCAACCAATCATCCTTGGAAGTAAATAATTAATAATTCTCATACGCTCTTATGTACCTGGGAAGTAAATTTGTTATTTAAAGCGTGAAGAAGTTGAAATAAAGGCAGTAAATAATTGAAACCGATATTGTTTGTAAAGCCTAGTACAAATATTGAAAATTATTTTCAGTTAAATGCTACACTCATAAATTTTTCATATATTTATTCTTTTATTATTTTGACATATGTATATTTATTTATTTTGTATTATAATAGTTCTTTGGAGAGATTTGGGCAATCTCGTGTCTCATACTTTTCGATTAGCTTCGCAAAATTAATTAGGTCATTCCTGTGGTTCTATATTTCTTTAGACCAATTGTTATTTGGGGAAGGTTTAGATGATCTATTGAATCAAAAGGGAACTAGATAAACGAGAGCAAAAACGGACGACTGGAGCAAAACGAACTAAATATACTGATATTGATATTTAGTTTTAGTGTTTAAATCATTAAATGATTCCTCGTAAGTAATTGTCTTGGCTTTTAAATACCGTTAAAATTGTCATTATTGCTTTAGTACAGTAGATGTTATGACCAGTTCTTTGATATTGGGCACTAATTAGTCATGCGCACCCATGACTAAATTAAAATATTCATTATTTTGCAAAAGCTTTACTTTTTGGAAAGTTTAAGCTTATATCTTCGAAAATCATATCATTTCGGATTGTTTATTGTAGGAATCCGCAAAAGCAAAACTGAATGAGTGACTGAAATGAAAGAACCGGACCTAGTACCGATCGTTGAGTTTGAGGAATATTCCATTGAACTAGTTCGCTTCTGAATAAAATAGAACCCTAATTAAAATTAAAAAAAATATTTTTTTATTTATTTATTGTTATAAACCCAAGTTAATCTTTGTAATCGTTTTTTTGTCTTTCTTTTTTTATAGAATGCGTGCGTTTGTCGAGGAGAATGAGAAAAATGACCCATTGATAAATGCTCCGGATAAAAAGAACAATCCGTGGGCAGAAAAGGGCAAATGTGTCATTATGTAATATTATCGTAAACCACAAAAATACCCTAATATAAAACATCAACAACAACAACAACAATATAATAACTATCAACAACAACCAATTAATAATTATAACAAACCTAGCATCAGCAATAATAATAGTAATAGAAGACCACCCTTAGAAACTACACCTCTCCTAACGGAAACCGAAGCCATTATTGTCGATCAGCCGAATTATTTATATAATTCTTTCGATCCAATCGCTGATCATCATATCTATACACAGAATACATATGGCCTAGAACTGGAACAATCTTCCAACACGGCAACTTCTTCGCCATTTCTTTATCATCCCGAAGATTTCTATAAAAATAATAATTATTATTATTACAATTATAATCTCAACTATCATGAACCGCAAGAGGAGCCATCAAGGACCAATAAGTTCTTAACAAAATTCAAACGCCGTACACAGCGTGAGTTGTTGCAATGGCCAATATTGCAACCGTTGGTGGTATTGATGATATGGTTGCAGGCAAAATTTTGGCAAATGTACTATGATGTCATTATGCGTATGAAAAATTAGATGATGTTCGTTCCCCTTTTGGTGTTTGGGACTGAAGAAGACGGAGGAGAAGAAGAAGGAAACCGTGAGGATGGAATTTGGTCGACAACACCACGGAGAAGAAGAATGTAGAAAATCTATTTAAACAATCAATGATGTTAAGTATTTGAAAACCACTATTTCCCAAACATACAATCTCAACTTTTTTTCTCCATAAGCATAAGTTTATTTCTTAAGTATATATATATACTTTTTAACGATATTATATTACATATAAACAAACAAAAATTACCACAACAACAACTACAAACATTTCTAATTATATATATCAAATCAAAATTTGCAACAAATCAACAGCAACAACAACAAACAAATACTAATAAAATTTCCATAATTAAAAGGAAAAATTAAAATTCAAAACTTAAAAAAAAACTTTCATCTTGGCATTTTTATTTTTGAGTTTATAACTTACTTACCTATCTCTCAACTTTCTTATGGTTTCCACTTCAAACAGCATTTCATTTAGTCGAAATCTGTTAGATGTCATCCTAAACATTCTCAAATTTCTTTCAATTTGCTTTACTTTACATTACCGAACATCTTCGTTGTCATCATCAACCTCATCATAATCAGTTCATCACGTCATTTCATGCAGAAAAAACCTTAGAAATAAAAGAATACGACCAGAAATATTTGGCCCATAATTTGAAAAGTAAATCCATTCCAAACATACACCGCAGAACAGTAAGCCCACCCTGATCTTTAAGAACAACAACAACAAAACAATTTATGTAGACAAAATAGTAACAAAGCTAAAACGTAAAAAAAGAAGAAAACTTATTTTCTGAATACTAGACAAAACTAAATATTTTAAATTATTTTTTTTTAAACAAGTTTACAAAATTTGTTTTTTTTTAATTCCGAAAAAACAAATGATAATGCTAATTAACAATCCTCGTAGGCAGAATTTATTCCTAGCCACTATATTTCAGTTTACCATAAAGGTTTCTTTTTGTGCTAAATACCAAAGAAAAAACTTGCAAGTTATAATTATGTTTATTCATCAAAAACATTTTTATTCACCATTCAGAAATAATATTTAAAACAAGTAAAATGCTACTAAAAACAACAAATGCTACATAATATTATTTATAAAACATAACAAATAATTAACTACTATGTAGTGTTAACTAATTATGAGTCAAACAATGAAAACTAAAAAAAAAAAATAATTTAAATAAATTTTATTTTTACTTCTTTATTTTAATTTGATTTAGTGTTTGTAAATGTTAATAATGCTGAAATCATTCAATGGTACATTGTAGGCTATGATCTTGGCTTTTAAATGCCATTTGAAATTTCAAAATTACTTTAGTAGAATGGAAGTTATTGCCAATTCTTTGAAAGTATCCAGTAATTAATAATAGTTATACGCACCCATGGCCAAATGCTTCAATTTTTCGTATATTTAAGGTAATATCTACTATTATTGTATTATTTTGGATGGTATATTGTAGAATTGAGTCGCTCCCAATTCAAAGTCAATCGCAATCTGCTTATAATTTCCTCAGTGCTTTTTTGGATATATACGTTAATGTAATGCATTTAAAATTTATATGCAACCAGCAAAAAGTTTAATCAAAATGTCCTCCTATATCCTCTCTCAGGAAAGAATGTACACTTACTTTTGAATCTTTATCAAAATTCATTTAAATTAGTTTCTCAACAATTTAAAACCCTTTCTACCAATTACTGATGCTTGCTAGCAAGTTATTGGCGATTTTACAGGGATGGAAATACTATTTGCATAACTTTCTTGCAAATAATGATAATGAACTCTTGTGATCTTTCACATATATAAAATTCCAAAGTACCCCAAAAAAAAATTGGGGGATTTAGTTTCAAACCATCAAAGTAAATGTAAAATATATTTAACATGAAATAAAGTAAAGGCGCTTTAATATATAAAAATTTCACTTTAAAATCCGTCTGAAAAGGAGAGAACAATACTTTTCTATTGCAACTAACACCTAATAAGTCGAGCAAATATCTAAAAATCTGGCTGAATTTAAAATTTTCTTCAGAGAAAAAGGAATATATCAAAAAATATACATTTGAAATCGACACCATAATATCGCTTTCAGTCGGTTATCTGATGTTACTTAGGCCCTTAAGTGTTTTCTCTAAATTGAATTGAATAACATTTATTGAAATAATTAATAATTAACAACACTTATACGCCCCCTATGGACCATGAAAGTAAATAATTCATAATACTCATACGCACTAATGGTCCATGGAAGTAAATTTGATATTTAAAGCGAAAGAAGGTGATATGTGGGCAGTAAAATTGAAATCGATACTTTACAAACACTAGAATCAATTTTTGAAATTATTTTGAGTAAAATGATAAATTCATAAATTAAATTACATTTTTATTGTATTGTTTTTATATTTTTGAAATTTTTATTATTATAGACCTTATTAAATTTCTAAGATTTAAATAACTTACATAGTTTGAGTAGGCCACATTTATTAATTTGTAATAATTTATATATGAAACACAGTGGAATCTTTTAAAAATTGATATTCTCGTATGACATTAACTTCGGAAAAAATTCGAAATATATTTGAGAAATATATTTGGTTATATCAATTTGTAAAAGATTTTAATGTATCTGAAAAAACGAAACTAAGTAAAGGAACAATATATCTAAAAAATCAAGGAAGGAGAAGGATATCAAATCGTATAGATGAAGATGAACACCTAATGCAAGATGTACCAGCAGAGTATCCAGCAAAATCAAGCAAGGATAAAGCCTATAACGACCATCAAATATTATATTAAAAAAAAAACAAAGTTTATTAATTTAATAAATTATATATTTTAAGGCAAACCAAAAAAATAAAATTAAAAAAGGTAGCAACAATACATATACATTTTAAGCTATGTCAAAAAAAAAAAACAACAACCAAATTAAAAAAAAAAATTAAACCTAGTAGAGCATTAAACAATTTAGAAAAATTTATTGAAAGATAAACAAAAATATTAATAGAAAACCAAAGCAAAAATACAAACAATATTATTTGCCAAAAAAAAAAAAATAACAAAAATCCCTACCACCCAATAAAAGAAATTTAATCCTGTTATATTTTTCCCCCCAAACAAAAATATATACTTTTTTTGTAGTAGAAGTTTAGAAGAGCATATTATTATATTGAAAACAACAACAACAATGAACTATGGAAATATTTACATATATATAATAACAAAAAAATAAAAATCAGCTCTAAACTTTATACACATCAAGAAGAAACAAACCTATAACTAATTACAAAAAAGGACTTGAATAAAAACAACTTATATTAAACAAAAAATATTATAGCTGATATAACTTCAAAACAAAAAATAAACAAAATATATTATAAAATAAAGGCGCTGACCTTCTGGTTTAAATAAAAAAATACAATATTAGTTTATGTTGAAGAAATAAAATAAAAAAAGTTATATTAACAACAAATTATAGAATTATTAAAAACTAAAAAAAAATAAAGAACGTAATAAATACAAGATATAAACAACAACCAAAAAAGCTTACAATTTGCAATGACGACACTAACATCCGTCGCATTAACAACAAATACAACTTGCATAAAAATAAATTAATTTTATTATAATATTAAATTTTTAAAAATATATAAAAAATAATATTTTTAATTAATATTAAAGAAAAACAAAATATGGTAGATTTATTTTTTAAATTATTTTTTTTTTAATTTTTAACTTTAAAAATAATTTTTAAAATATAATTTTTATTAAAATACAAAAAAATAAATCACTCATAATAATAACAATAACAGCATAAAAAAGTAGCATTTGAAAAATTCATAAACAAACATAGTAGCAAATTATATTTAAAACATTATAACAATTACAAAAAACCCAATTAGTTTAAGCATTTCCAAAGAAACAACAAATAAAACAACCGGAAAAAGATCCAACAAGCCTAAATAATTAAAATGAAAACAAACACAAAATACAACATCAACAGAGAGCAAATATTTACCAAAAGCAGGACGATATCGTCCATTGATATCGAAAGGAAGACTTTGATATTGGAATAACATTCAAAACTTAGCAAAGGTGTTACAATACCCTTGGCGAAAAAAAAACAAAGTAAGGGATACACAATTTCAGAACTAAAACCAACATTTTCCCAAGATATCAAAAAAGGATGGAAACAATACTCTGGAGATCAATAAAAGGAAATTCACAACGTACTCGAAAATCATCAGTTGTGGATAATAAAATACATTCAAAATCGTACACGTTCTAGCAAGAGTTTCGAAGAAATCTAAAATTTATGTAGAAATTAAATTCTGTGAAATTATTAGCAAGCTACTTTCATAGCCTTATTCCACGAGACACAACAGCAATATCTGATAAAAATTTTACATTTTCTGAAAGATTGAAAAGTTAAAAAAAAATTCTAAAAAGTTAAGCTTTCGTGAGATTCAAAAATGTTATGGACAATTTACTGAAATAACCCAATAAATAATAACAATCATACGTTCTGGTGTATCAGCATTACTTTTCCAGTTGTG